TCTCCATCATTGCCTCTCTCTTGCCTTCTGTTTGATGAACACTAGGGTCTTACACACACTGAAGAAAATATTGCAACATGATTGATTTTGTCAGTCGCCTGTTTCAGGAGGTAAGAAATCAGCCATCTTGAATTCTGGCAATGAAATCTGTGGATGCAGATTGCAAAATGTTTGGCCATCTCTAGGCAGGGTATTGCTTCATGGTCTGTACACAGCTGTTGTTCACACAGCCCTATCTTTCATGACCCGAAGGACTGGTGTAGAGAGATGCTTTGTGATGCTGCTTTGTTCCTCTGTTTCATTTCTGCTTTCTCTGTTTAAATTATCACCTTAGTTTTGGGGTTCTTAAACTCTGATCATGCTTTTTGTGCCCATGATGCACTGCTACTTGGTGCCATCCAAAAGAAGGTGGGACTGGGGAGAGAAAAAGAAGAAAGAGAAGTTTCATTGATTAAATATGAACTAGTAACTGCTCTGAGACCGGCTTTCAATTTCTCAAGGTTGCTTCTATAGAGCCCTTTTCAGTACAAGCAATTTGCCATCCTTGTGGGAGAAGTGCAGCACATGTGAGTGAAAGGAGTGATACTTCTGTGTAATATTCCTACTGTGATGGGACCCGGGCTGGAAATAAGAAGGAGGTCTCCTTCTGCTTCGCTTTTCTGTTAACTGCAAATGAACAAAAGCTGCAAGTTGTGAGGATCCCTCACCAATCAGCAATGGGAGATTAACTTTATCGTTAACCTTGTCTGTGCCCTCACCAATTTAATTGGTATTGGCCCAGGTCCCAGACCTAAGGCCAAGAAATACAGAGCAGAGCTTGATTGGGTGATCCAATGAGAGCTACTGCTTTCCCCTGCCATCCTGGACTGGCTACATGTCATTTTGATCCCTTGGCACAAAGCACAATGTCTTTGCATGTCACAAGCAAGACTTTCAGCAGGTATAAATGAGCATAACACAGAGAATGTCAATAAAAAAGCTTTTGCAACCCTTAAAAGTCTAACCATAATTATTAAACTCTCCTTGAAAATTTTCCTTTTAGTTCCCTTAAAAAAAAAAAAAGTCTTTGTTACACATCTCCTCGCTGTGGGTAACCTCATTCTCTCCAAGCTCCAGCTGGAACCTGCATCACATATTGCTCAGTGCCCTGTTGCAAAAAACATTCCCCATTCGCAGCACTAAATCCCCTGCACACACTCCTAAAATATCTTCTCTGGTTCCTCATGCCTAACTAAACAATGCAAAACCCTGATTCTCTGCATACCTCCCACAGCCATCCCAGCTGCTCCTGACACCTTTCCTTTTCCCTAGGCCCTCTTCACTCATCTGAAGTTACTCATCAGGAATCCACTCCTCCATCACTTCTCTGAGCTTTTTGTTTCATTGGACCACTTTGGGTGAGGTAGGAGAAAGAGGTTATTTTAAATAAAACCTTGTCAACTTCTTCCTCTCGCATTAGTTTTAAAACTTGCCACTGTAACAAGATTTGAGCAAATGCATAGAGATATGCTTATTTCTAGATGCTCAAGTCATCCTAAAGCCCTCTGACCTGGGTTGTGGGGTGCTTGACCCACCAAGGCTTTGCAGGCCCTGAGAATGACAGCACCTTATTTGTGCTAATCCACCTGACCTGTTTGTCCCTTTGTGATGTTCAAAGGGTCAAGGCAGTCTCTTTGCACAGATCTGAGAGTCAACAACTGCTTTACAGCAGACAGGTCTGCTCTTGAGAGCAGAGTTAAACCCTGTGCAGATGTTGTCTTTTAGTAATGTCTTCCCCATCTCCCTTTAACACTGTCCCCAAAAGTAGCTGCCCCGAGGCATTTGCTTTGAAAGGACATAATCATATTGTTCTCCCCCTCATTATCCCTATTTCCAGCATCTGCACCTCATTGTATGGTCATCTCTTCCCATCATTCTCTTCTTAATTTTGTTTGGAATCTCTCTAGAGCAATGAGACATCATTATCTATTTTGTAAAGCGCCATTCAAGAGCTGTAGCAGAGTAGCACATATACGTGATAGAAATCCTCCCCTTCCATTTCCTCCAAAAGACAGGTAGAGATGGTTAATGCCCAGCACTCACTGCATGGCATGTGCTAAAGGCTTTCCCCTACAACAGAGGCAAGAGCTCAGCCATGTTTTGGTCTTCACAAAGTGCTGTGGGAGGCCTCTGGCTATTCCACTCCTGACAATCACATTACCACAGAATGTATTTTGATGGCAATTTTTGGAGTGCCAGAGCAATCATGATCAGTAACAAGGGGATTTCAGTATCTGCAGTCAGGAGTACGCAGGTTTCCCCTCTGGTTTGGTAACATTCACAGGATGCTTGTGGCATTGTAATGTACTCATAACAGTTCCAGCACACACAGCACGTGTCAAGCTACCTCACTTCCCACCCCTGTATGTCCATCCCTCCCCTACGGGCAACTCCATAGTCAAAAGCGATTCCTCGGGCAAAGGGGAGGCAGAATTTTGTGGGGTAAAAACCCATGCCTACCTTTGGAAAGACATTTCCATCACAGCCAACAGTGCAGCCCAGTGCTGGTTACAACAGGCAATAAAACTGACACTGCTCTGGGAAGACAGAGGAACATTCCACAGAACTGCTGATACATCAGTTTTTTCCTCTATGCCCCCGCAAAAATGGATATATATTGTTAATGGTTGGATACAATGATCTCAAATATCTTTTCCAACCTAAATGATTCTATGAGTTCTCCCGGGGTCATCTATGGCTTACCCAAAGTTAATGTGCTGAGAACTGAACTGGATGTCAGATCCTCAGACTAGTTTTCCTGAGGTACCCTGGAGAACTGCAAATTGGCCAGTGGATGGTTACTGAAATAATTAATTAATCTCCCTTCATTGTTAATGATGATAAAATACATTTAATGGAGACAAAAAAAAAAAATCAGCACAGATGATACTGTTAGCAGCAATGACAAAAGTTCTTCACTTGTTGGTAATGATGTAAAGCACTAGGCACATCCTGATGTTCCTCTGATATACAATGGTGTGAGTGTGCAGAACTGTGTGCAGAAAGGGGCAGTGAGGGGAGAGTGCTGGACTAGGAAACAGAGAGCTAGGCACTGAGGCCTGACCTAATATCAAACTTCACCCAAACTTGGGTCCAATCCTCTCCTCTGTGTGCTTCTGCTTCTATTTCCACCTTTGAGATTTTCTTTAAATTATATTTTCCTTTCTTAAACTTATGTAGGACTGATACAAGCAGTGAGGACCTACCTCTGCGCGAGTGGACCCGAGCAGAGGCATGAGCATATTATAAACCCCAGCAGCCTCTGGGGCACTCTAGAGGCAGCTGCACTGACCCCATAGGCAGATCACTCTCAGGAATGATTCCTGGTCTCGGGCATGAAACCCAGAAGAACCAGGGGATGCTGGGACTTTACCTGCCATAACTTGGCTGTGTGCAATTAAGCCATTCACTTGCTCACCACATTGGCAGTGAAACGTGGAAAGAGTTTAGCATTCAAGTTGTTGTGACCTAGCTGTGAGGAGACAACAATGATGTCAAGGAGGTTATGTGCATGAAGCGTCCGTGACAAAACATTAGCTCAGGTCAGACACTACTGAAATGTAAAAGGGAGGATGACTGTCAGCCATCAATAACCAAAACCGGGAGCTGTTGCTGTTATATACAGCAACACTTGTAACAGCTGTCAAACAGAAACTTCCTTTTCTCCGATTTGTAAAACCACTGGCCTGAGGAGTAGCTGGACTCCAAACACGAGCACCTTTGGTTTGGGAAGTAGCAGCTTGGGCCAGCCGACAGCGCTAGGAATCAGTGTGCCCAAATATGCCAACAGCCACAGCACTGCTGCACTTTCTGCTACTTAAATGCAATTTGCTTTTAAAAAAAGAGGCCGTGCCCCTGGATCGCATCCGGCGGCGACGGGCTGTACATACACACAGGTGGGCAGCGCCGGGCATGCCGGTTCAGGGTGAGGGGAGCGGCAGCGCTCCCCCGGCACGGCGCGATGCCAGCAGGTGCGGGGCTGCCCGGCCGGGGCAGTGCCGGGGCAGCGCGGGGCGGCTCCGGGGGCGATGCCGGGCGGGCGCGGACCGCGATGCGGGCAGGGACAGCCCCGCCAGAGGCACCAGCCTCCCTAATGGGCATGTGCGAGCGCCGCACATGCCCACTCGGGCGCCGGGCAGTGCCGGGCTGCGCTGGCCCCTCCGCCGCGGCACCTGTGCGGCCGCTCCGCGGGGCGCTGCCGTCGGGCACCCCGGGGCGCCGCCCGGCCCCGCCGCCGCGGGAAGCGCCCGGACGTTTGTGGCGGCGGGACCGCCCGCCAAAGCCCCCCCACGAAACACACCCAACTCTCCCTGCACCGGGGACGGCCGTTCCGCGCCCCGCCGCCCTCCCGCCCGTCGGTGCCGCGGCGGGGCTGCGCTCCCCCGCGGTCCCGGGGCCGGCGGCTGCCGGCGGCGGGCGGGGCCGGGCGGGGCGGGGCGCGCCGCGGCGTCCCGAGCGCGGCCGGCGGGGCGGCCCCGGCGGGAGGTGCCGCGCTGTGCCCGCCGCCCCGTGCGAGGCGCCGCCCGGCGTGGCCCCGCGCCCCTGGGCGGAGGGCGGCGGCGGCGGGGGCGCCGCGAGGGCTTTCTGCGCCCGCCCCGCTTCGCCTAGCCTGCCGCGGCCGGGGGATTAGTCAGCAGTCTGCGGGCAACCCCGCTCCCGCGCGAACTCCGCGGCGGGGGCGGGGAGCGGCGCTTGCCCCTGCCCCTTCCCGCGGCGGGGCGGCGGCGGGGCTGTCCCCCTGCCCCCCCGTCCCCCGGGCGGTCCGCGCCGCCGCTCCGCGGCGAGGGGCGGCGGGTTGGGAAGTGTGGCATCGAGGGGCTGGGAAACTCCTCTCGGGCACGGCGGCGTTGCGGGAGGACGGGCGCCCGAGCCGCCCCGCGCACGCAGCCGGGCGGGCGCGCACACACCGCACACACACGCACACGCGCGGCGGCGGCCCCCGGCCCCCCGCAGCCGCGGCCGGCGGGGAGGCGGCGCCCGGCGGGGCTGCCCCATGGTCTTGCGGGGGCCGTGGGGGAGCTGCGGGGGCCCCGGCGCGGCGCTCGCCCTCCTGCGCGCCCTCCGCACTAGGATGTTGCGGCAGGTCTTGCACAGGGGGCTGGGGACGTCCTTCTCCCGGCTCGGCCACTTCGTCGCCAGCCACCCGGTGTTTTTCGCCTCGGCGCCCGTGCTTATCTCCATCCTTCTGGGCGCCAGCTTCAGCCGCTACCAGGTGGAGGAGAACGTGGAGCACCTCCTGGCCCCCACGCACAGCCTGGCCAAGATCGAGAGGAACCTGGTGGACAGCCTCTTCCCGGTGAACCGCTCCAAGCACCGGCTCTACTCCGACCTGCAGACGCCGGGGAGGTACGGCCGGGTGATCATCACCTCCTTCCGCAAGGCCAACATGCTGGACCAGCACCACACCGATCTCATCCTCAAGGTAACCGCGGCGAGTCCCCTGGCCATCACCGCCCCGCATCCCGCCCCGCTCCCCGCACCTGCCCGCCGGCACGGACCCACCCGCGCACGCCGGGCTGTGCCGCCGCTGCCACCGCAGCTCCCCGGTCACCTCCCTGCAACAGTTGGGACGCCAGCCCGGCGCGGGGAGCCGGCACCGCTCTCCCTGCCAGCGCCGCGGGATCCGCTGTCTTCCCCCCCGCCACCTTTTTTTTTTTTTTTCCTTTTTTTTTTTTCTCTATTTTGCTTTTACTTGCTTTTGGGTGAGCGAGAAGGGCAATCTGCTTGCTTAAGTAATTTTTCTGTGTCTCTGTACTCGCGAGACAGTCGTGCTCCCGAGTTACGGCGTCTCAGGCTTTGATAGACTCAAACTTCAAAAGCAGTTAGGTACCAATCTGCCAGGCTGCCGAGAATGGTTTTGGGGGCTGCTGCTGTGTCTGGACTGCACTTCTGCACAGAGAGGGGTAGCGTAAAACCTTCTTCTCACTGCTCATGAAGGCAAATGACATAACTCAGCAGATTATTTTTAGCGTTTTAGTGGGGTTTTTTTCCCCCTCCACTCCCATCCCACCATCACAGAAAATGCTGGTTTCATAGACGAAGAGAAAATCCAGCCCTGCTGTAGATTGCAGGCATGGTGCAGCCTGTGCTGCCGGTTCAAGTTAGAGCGGGCAGCATCTTTCCCTGTCACTTGAGCAACACGGAGCGTGCGAGTTACAATCTAACAGGACATCTCACCCTACTATGGGTCAAAACATGTCGAAAACCTGGGAGGATAGATGCAAAAACTATATGCTAAGAGGGTCAAGTTCATCCAGGAAAATAGAAAGGAACATTTGGAAATAACCAGAGGTGTGGCTAGTTCTATCCTGCACGTTTTTGCTGTTGCCTTGAGGAAACCCAAGAGACTCGGCATTGTTTTTTTTTTCCTTTTTCTTCTGTTCTGAATGTCAAACCGTCAGCCCATGTAAAAACCAATGTTAATTCTTTTTAATTGCTTTAGGGAATCTCTCTTCTAAAATGAGAAAACAGATGCAAACACCTATTGTAAAAGACTTCAGTGAGACCTCCCTCTTTACTAAACAAGGAAATAACTGTTACAAGGGATTTATTTACCTTTATTTTGACTGTAGGTACATACAGACCTATGGTACAAAGCCACTCAGTATTTTATGTTTTTCTTTTGACATATTACCCAACAGTAATGAGCAAACAGATTTAATAAGTGTCAACTAACTAAGTACAGTAACAGGAATGTTACTGGCGAATGAGAAAACTCCAGAGAGACAATTTTCATTCCTTCATTTTCTTGTACCATGAATTGCATTCACATCCAGTATGTGCACATTTACTCAGTCATAGGATAATAATGATAATGGATTTTTTTTTCTGTACTGCCTTCTCTAGAGATCTGTAGTTTTGTCAATAGCACAGTGACACACAAATAAATGGTACTCGGAATCTTTCCGCAAGCAAACTTCTGCATAAGATTTATCACGTCAGCGAAAGAGGTATAACACAGAAAGTTCTGTCAGTATTTAATACTACCTCATTTTTAATGGACAGAATTGGCCAACAGAATGATTATTTTTCATTTATTGAGATAATTAACTCCATTACCATTTGACTATTTAGACATTGTCAGGCATATTTGATGCATTATTTCCAACTCTTTACTTATCTAGTTAATTCCAATATGCCTTGTGTAGAATAGATTATATTCTTTGTCCTGATTATTTTTCTGCTTGTGGGCAGAGACAGGCTTAGGCAGCTGCCTATCCAACCTTGTGGATGGCCCTGGGGGTCAAAGAACAGCAAAACATGAGGGAGGGCTCCTAGCTCCCAATATTGTTATATCTGTTGTGATGCAGGGCTAAATCACTTTGCGTTAACAAGGCCCACTGAGAGATGGAGAAGAGAAAAGGTGGCCATCAAGGTTTTCTGATATATATGCAATTGCATGAAGGGGAGAAGGGAGCAAAGGCAGCCCCAGCCTCAGTCCAGAGCCAACCAACTCAAAAGTACTTTGCTTGTAAATAAGTGTCCTGGATGAAACCATAGGTAACCCCATTCACATTTCTGAAAATGGTGCCCTGTAGGCACAGTCAGGGCAGAGAACCTAAATGGCAGCATTTGCTTATCTTCCCTTTTCAGGACGACAACCTCCTCAAGGGAGAGGTTTTGCTTTAGAATAAGTGTCAGGTTGAATGCTGGCTCCTCCTGCATGGCTGTTGCTGCATCTCCACCCACAAGCAAGAGGATGGGAGACACAGGAGGACAGTTGCCCCAAGCAGATGCTGGCTGCTCTTGCCGCACCTCTTCTTGGTTTCCTTGCCTGCCATATCCCACCTCATCTGCCAAGGAGGGAAGAGAAGGAGCCCTGAGCAGCTACAGCTGCCCTAGTCATGTGGCAAGGGAGGGAGGTTGCCCCTGATTTAGGCAGAGGAAGAAGTCAGCTTCCATTATTGTCCCCTTATATAAAGGGATACAAAGTTTGGGGGTCTGAGCAGTAGAAATTGAAACATAGCTGGTTAATCACTCTAATACCCTAATCAATTAATTAGCCAATCAAATAAGTTCTGTTGTGACATCTCTAAAACACTATGGTTAGCTTAGTGCAATTCCTCCCAGGCCTGTTATCAGCCTGAGAAAGTCACCATTACCACTACTGCACAGTGCCTTGTTGGCTGCCTGGAGAGAGATTCTGGGAAGGGCTCAGCCTCACCACTGTCTCAGGCCCAGGTCTTGAGCAGTGCTCCCAGAGCAGGAGCTGCCACAGGACTCCCCCCTTACAGCACACATCTGCCAGGGCCATGCTGGCTGCTCACATGACAGCAGCGGGTCTTGCTGAACGTACAAGCTGCTTCACACAAGGTGTCTCCTACTCGTTAGCAGGGAGACGTGTGGCTACCTTGTATAATAGTTGTGATTTGGAGATGAGGCCGAGTCCTCTTTTATTTTTTTTTATTTTTGTGTGTGTAAAGCTGTACCATAGTTCTGATAACTCCCATAAATGCTTGAACCGTTCTAGGCGTGCTATCCCAATGTTGCGTTTCCAGCTGGCGTAGTCATTTGCAGAAAAGAGGGAGAAATCCAAACATATCCTTAGTCTCTGGTCTTGAATAGGTGATCCAATAAAAGCCTCGGTAGAATCTTAGATATGGAAGAGATGCATCCTGAGACTGAGATACTGTGGGAGGACAATAATGAAATTTTACTTGCTGCAGTACCTGCTCTGTAGCTGAGCACAACTGGCATCTTACACTGTCGGTGCACAGGACCTTTCCTCCTCAAGATTTCACTCTTGCAAGAGAGAGAGGGAGCTGGGAAGTAAAAACACCTAACTGAAGAAAGTGTGCTTTTACTACTGTATTTCCAGTAACTACTTGGAGAAGGAAAAATAATTGGGATATTTGGTGTGGACCATTGTGCAGAAGTTCAAATGATTATGTAAACAGTCTGTAGAGTTCGATTAACCCTAGAATCCCAATTAAGAATAGTGTTAAAACAGACCTGTAACATTTCATAGTGGTATTTCCACTTGCAGCTAGGAACTTGTTAGGTTGAAGTTATACACACTCACTGGAAATACAGACCTAGACAGATATTTGAACCTCAGATAATAGGGTCTCATTTAGGCAGGATTTGAGAGCCATCCTTTTGAGCCTGTTTGTTCCTCTATGCTTACAGTGAGTTAACTGCTTTATACTACTGAAGACTTTTTAAAAAAAATTTAAGGTTTTCTTTTTTTTTTCCAGAAAAATATCCTCTTTTCCACTTACTTTACTGTGTTTATAACAATAACACAGTACTAATTTTTTTGGCAAAACTCCACTTAAGATGTCAAGACATAAAGATGAGGATTGAAATGTAACATGCCTTACTCCTTACTGAAGGCGATTGTATTTGCAGTTTGCCCCTGTAAAAATTTGTACATAAGAGGTTTTTTTCTTTAAAGAAACCTCTGCTAAGTACAATTTTTTAGAAGTGCTTATACATCGCTCTTCTCATATGAACTGGCCGTTAATTGACCTAGATAACTGATTAAATATCTATTTGAACATGCAAACAAAGTAAAATTAGGTATTTCCATCTAAAGGCACATTTATTTAAGAGCTTCAGAACTTCTGATTACTGCAGAACAAAACAGTTTAACTTCAAAATCTTGCAGACCTCATACTTTTGGGGGTTTTATTTCCTCTCTCTGCTCCTTAATTGTTCTGTTCCTATTCATGTGCGTGCCAGCACGCTCTGTCTACAGTCTTCACAGGTTTCTTCGCTTACTTTGTACGTGTGAGGAAACTCGGGGAGGAAACAATCATCTTTAGAAATAACATGTTTATGTTCCCTTGGCTGTACGTATTTCCAATTGCTTTGCTGTACAGACGTGGCACACTTAAACCATTATTTTCAGAGTCGGTGGAAGTCCATAGTGGTTGTTCAGTGGAGCCAAAACCTGGGTCTGTTTTTATCGTGACTAACGCAAGGTACCCTTTATTTTAAAACTTTGACTACTTCTGAATGCCTGGACACAAGCACTCAGCTGTGGATCTGGCAATGGATGTAGTAGGTCTTCACCTTCTCTGAGTAGCTCAGGCACTAAAAACACTTCCAGGGAAACAGTATGTGGAACAAACAGTGCATGCTGCTGAAAAATATAAAGGATGAAGTCATGTCTTTAGAGCAAGGCTTTAAGATGAGGGGAAGAGTCCTAATACAAGAAAAACAAGGGTGTGAAAGCAGCAGAAGTGCAAGCCTGTTGTCATAGCAGCACAATGCTGCAGGGCTAAAATGTATCTTATGCGAAAACAGATGAGAATTAAGATACACAGGTAAGATCTGGGCACAGCTAAGGAAGAGGGAAGATAAATAGCATGTTGCAAGGACAGTGTGGAAGTGTGTACAGAAACCCCTCTGAGCTCCAGGTGTCAGCAGCAGCAACTGCTCCGTGTGATTCCTGCAGGCTGGAGGGTTTGGTCTCTC